CAATGCTCCTAGCACGTTCATGAGGTTGATGAACCATGTTTTGAGGCCATTCATTGGCAAGTTCGTGGTTGTATACTTCGACGACATTCTGATCTACTCGAAGTGCATGGAGGATCATCTCAATCACTTGAGAGAGGTGTTGGCGATGTTGAGAAAGGAGAAATTGTATGCTAACCTCAAGAAGTGCTCGTTTTGCACTTCTAGTGTTATTTTCCTTGGTTTTTTGGTGAGTGCAGATGGAGTCAAGGTGGACGAAGAGAATGTGAAAGCAATTCGCGATTGGCCTATTCCAACAAACGTGAATGAGGTGCAGAGCTTTCATGGGCTTGCTGGGTTCTATCGTCGATTTGTGCCCAATTTCAGCACCATTGACATCCATCATCAAGAAGAACGTGACGTTCTATTGGAGAGAGGAGCAGACTAGAGCATTCGAGCTGCTCAAGCACAAGCTCACACACGCACCTGTCCTGATGTTGCCGGATTTCAATGAGACATTCGAGGTGGAGTGTGATGCTTCTAGTTTGGGAATTGGAGCAGTGTTGATGCAGGAGAAGAAGCCGATTGCTTACTTCAGCGAGAAGTTGAGTGGGGCTCCCTCAACTATCCGACGTATGACAAGGAGCTTTATGCTCTAGTTCGAGCCTTAGAGACGTGGCGGCACTATCTTTGGCCGAAGGAGTTCGTGAATTCACACTTATCACGAGTCTTTGAAGTATTTGAAAGCTCAACACAGGCTAAACAAGAGACATGCTCGATGGGTTGAGTTCATTGAGTCCTTTCCATACGTGATCAAGTACAAGCAGGGCAAGGAGAACATAGTTGCTGATGCCCTATCTCGAAGGCATTCGTTGATCACGACAATGGGGGTGAAGTATTTGGGTTTCGAGCATATCAAGGAGCTCTATTCTGATGATGCTAACTTTGGGGAGATCTATAAAGCTTGTGAGTAGCATGGCGATGGGAAGTTCTATCGAAGTGATGGCTACTTATTTCGAGCTAACCAGTTGTGTATTCCTCGATCATCACTTCGAGAGTTTCTGTTGAAAGAGGCTCATGGAGGAGGCTTAATGGCACATTTCGTTGCAGACAAGACGTTGAGTTGTCTACAAGAGCACTTCTATTGGCCGCACATGAAGGGAGACGTGGAGAATCTGTGTGCGAGGTGTGTTGAATGCAAGCAGGCCAAGTCGAAGGTGCAATCATCTGGATTGTACACACCAGTGTCGATTCCATATGCTCCATGGATCGACATCTCTATGGATTTTGTGCTTGGTTTGCCGCAGACAAGGAAGGGAAGAGATTCGATTTTTGTGGTGGTGGATCGATTCTCGAAGATGGCACACTTTATTCCGTGTCATAAGACGGATGATGCTATTAACGTGGCTGATTTGTTTTTCAGGGAAGTGGCGCGATTACATGGGATGCCGCATTCTATAGTATCCGATCGAGATACTAAGTTTCTGAGTTCCTTTTGGAAGATGTTGTGGAGCAAACTGGGGACAAAGTTGTTGTTCTCTAGCACATATCATCCTCAAACCGATGGGCAAACAGAGGTTGTCAATCGAAGTCTATCCCAAATGATGCAAGCTGTGATCAGGAGCAACATCAAGGTTTGGGAAGACTGCCATTACCTTTGGATTTGATGCCATTACCTTTAAATGATCAGGTCAATCTCGATGGAGCCAAGAAAGCCGAGTTCGTGAAGAGTTTACATGAGAAAGCGAGATTGAACATTGAGAGAAGGACGAAGCAGATCATACGCAATGTGAACAAAAACAGGAAACCGAGGCACTTTGAAGTTGGCGACTGGGTGTTGGTGCATTTAAGGAAGGGGAGGTTTCCCCAGCAGAGGAAATCAAATTTGATGCCCCGATGTGATGGTTCTTTCCAGGTTGTTTCAAAGATTGGAAGCAACGCCTACAAGATCGACTTGCCGGGAGAGTATGGAGTAAGTGCAACGTTTAATATTTCTGACCTTGCACCTTATTTGGATGGCAATTCGGATTTGAGGGCAAATCCTTTTGAAGAAGGAGCGGCTGATGAGGACATCAATGGGTCAGTCACACGTGCTAAGGCAAGGACGTTGAAGGAGAAGCTTGCGACATATTTGGAGAGCTACTTTGGAGCCATGGACGTGGAGCTATTTTGAGGGAAGCCATATATGATGATTCAAGTGGAAGAAGAAGGAGGAAGTGTTGAAGAGAAGGCAGATTACAAGAAGCAGCCTTAACGGGTCCAGCCTTAACGGGTTTACTTAACGGGTCCAGGCTTAACGGTTTGGTCTTAACGGGTTCAGGCTTAACGGTTTGGGCTTAACGGGTTTGCTGGGCTATTTCCAAGTTTTCATGTTTTAAAGTCGTTTTATGATTGTTTTTCCATGTTGGAGTCGGATTTGGGTTGTACTTTGCCTATTTAAAGGGCTGAACACGTTGGTTTGCCCTTAGACGATTATTATTGAATTTCAGAGGTTATTGCCGAGTTCCCTATGCGGAATTTTCCCTAATTACTCTGTCGAGAATCTCCAGAGTGCTAGAGCGACTCTTATCAGCTAGGTATTCGCCCTAGTTGTTGCGAGCTACCCATATCGATTGCCCTTTATTCCGAGTTGAATCTGTCCGATCGATTCATATATCGATTGCCCTTATTCACGGGTGAGTACTGTCCGATCGATTTCCATCCTATCCGGTTCTGTTTGGTTTGAGAAGCTTGACCCTGTGCTACTTTGATTATATCAAATTATCTACAAATTCAAATTATTCGTTAAAACACTCTCGATAATTACACACTAACTAATTCAATCAATTAATTACCTACTCAATAAACACGTTCGAATTAATTATTAACTAATCTTCATAAATCATATCACTAATTTTCAATCAATCATTAAGTAATTAATTATCTGTTAACTAATTAATTAATTAACTACTATAAAAAATGTTCAAATTATTTATTAACTAATTTTAATTAAATACTAACACTAATTTTAATTAATAATTAATTAATTATATGTTAACTAATTTAATTAATTATTTAACCACTAAGTAAACATGTTTAAATTATTTATTTACTAATTGTAATTAAATAATAACCCTAATTGTTAAATTAATAATTAATTAATTATACGTTAACTAATATAATTAATTATTTAACTGCTCATAATAACTAATTAATTAAAACATTAAATTAAATATTTAAATTAAATTAAGAAAACTTTGGCGGCCGAAGAAAGATTCTGGCATGGGCGTGGCCGGGTTGAAATATTTTTTCGGCTCGCACCTCGCCGCGCCTAAAAAATCCTTCAGTCCAGCCACGCCGACTTCCGAATCTTCCTTTAGCTTAGCCACGAACTCGTCGAAATTTTCCTTCGATCCGTCGTTGACGCAGCCATCCGATCTTTTTTGGTCGGCGTCAACCAGGTTGGGCCCAACGAAAAGGGCCTCTCTAGGCCTAACAAACATTTCAGCCTGACTTGGTTAACGTCGGCTGAAAATTTCGGACGGCGCCATCGACGACAGACCGAAGGAAAATTTCGGCCGCCGCGTGGCCAGGTCGAAAGATTTTTTCGGCTATGCCCCGACCGGAATTTTCCTTCGGCCGCAGCTATAAATCGCCAGAAGCTGAGTAAAGTTGCCTGAAAAAAATTATATGTCTTTGTTGGTCGGCGACGACGAGACGGTGGCTGACGACGGAGGGACTGTGCCGGCGATGGAGGCACTGAGCTCGGCGACGGAAATTTGTGTTGAATGTGGTTAGAAGTTTGATTATGATGTTTATATAGAATTCTGGCGGCAAAATTCAAATATTAAATTTTGAATTTTTTTATTGGTTGGCGACAAATAGCCGTTCACTTTTATCTCAATCCACTGTATGCAATTTGGTCTTCCCATTCTCTTCCCGTACAAAACGTCTGTTACATAAATTGAGAGAGTTGCAACCTTTGCAGGTAAGTACAGGTGTCAAAACATTACCCGACCCGAGTAACCCGCCCAACCAACCCGATTCGCAATTCAATCCGCCTGCAACCCGATTTGACTAAAATTCAAAGACCGGCAACCCAACCGACCCACAACTCGATTGAAACGTAACCCGATTAACCCGTAACCCGATTGACCCTTAACCCGATTGACCAGCAACCTGACTAACCCGAACCTGCCCTATTGGCACGAATAATACTATGCGGGTGAGGGGCGACGTCGGAGATGATCTAGCGACTAGCGAGCAGTGGAGAGTGGAGACCATGCGGCAGCGGCAACGACGGAGGATTGGTGGCGTTGACGGCCGATTTGAAATTGACAGAGGCGGCGCTCAAGTTCGGCAAGAAACGAGAAAAGTAGGTGATAGACGAGAGCCGGGAGTTAGGGTATTAGTTTTCTTGTCTCTGCCTTTCTCTGGTTGAGTAGGTCGACTTTTTCACAACCTAAAACCTTTTCAAATGTTAATATAATCAACAAGTTCAAATGATCACAAAGTGATTTCGTGGACTAATTGGCTTTTGTGTTAGTCTTTCCAATTCAATGTCCTCAACTTAAAGCTTACCAGAAGCATTTTTTATACCTTTATGTTGACTTGTAAAATAAAAGGTTATTAATGATTCACAAATCACAACTTAGGAAGACCATCCTGAAAATTTATTTTTGCAAACAATCCTTAAAATTTTTATACCTTTATGCTGACTTGTAAAATAAAAAGTTATTAATGATTCACAAATCACAACTTAGGCAGACCATCCTTAAAATTTATTTTTGCAAACAATCCTTAAAATTTTTTATACCTTTATGCTGATTTGTAAAATAAAAAGTTATTAATGATTCACAAATCACAATTTAAGAAACAAAACCTAAAATTGACCTAAGTAAACTTAGTTGCAACTTACGACATGTATTTATAAATAATAAATCATTGAGACACTTGAATCAAAATCTAAAATGATTTCGGGTTAGGAATCTTAAGATGAGGAATTATGTTCTTCACAATAATATAAAATCTAAAATTGACTTAACCTATGTTCTACCAACAATTTCATAATCACTCTCTTTTTATAGGAGAGAAAGGGAGAGAAAGTGAAGAGAAAGGAAAACTTGGGAGGAAAACACAATTTCTTGATTGGGCGATGTCTGCTGGTCTTCCACTTCCATCATAGAATTGTCGGCGAATTGTGTAAACCAATACATAACTAATCAATTCTCCAACTTTTCCAGAAACTATATATGTAAATAATAGCAACAACTATGCTTAAGTGATGTCTAAGAGACTGGAGCGGCGTCGCCGACGATTGTGATTGTTCTTGCCGAGGAAGTACTTCTGAGCGTGACTGGCCACCTGTGTCGGCGTCCGGGTCTTGACGAAATTCCTCAAAATTCCTCTCCAATCGCCTTTCCCAACTTTCTGCAGCCCCACCAGAAACAACATGTGTTCCTCCTCGGTCCACGGCACCCCTGCAAAACCAATCAAACGATCCAATCCCCAATTTTTATTAAAATTCCCCCCCCCCGCCCAAATTGGAGTTTTTTTCCAGAAATAGCACCTTTAAAAAAAAAAATTACAAAACTAGCACTCTTCCAAAACAAATTACAAAACTAGCACCTATTTTAATGAATCGCACCTTAGAGGTGCGTTTTATAAATGAAACGCAGCCTTAGAATGCGTTTCCTTCATAAATCGCACCCCTAAGATGCGATATCTAAGGTAAATCGCATCCCCAAGATGCGATCCAAGTTTGGTCGCCAGCGACCTTCTGGATCGCACGATTAAGATGCGATCTGACGGGCTGCAGCATAGCCACGTCAGCAATCCGCGCGACTGAGTGTGGATCGCACTGGTGAGGTGCGATTTCTCGCCTGGAAAAGTGGAGCGTCATGATTCTGCGCGTTCAACGCATCGGGACGCGGGGATCGCATCAGGGGAATGCGATTTGGCGTGGAGATCGCACTAGGGAGATGCGATTTCTACGGGGTAAAATTACCCTATCGCCCCTCGGCGGTGCGATCTGTTGGGTATAAATACCCCCCCTCCCCCTCTCATTTCTTCACTCCACACAACCCATTCTCCTTCTCTCTCTAGATATAATCTCTCTAAACCCTCCCCTCCCAAAAGCCTAGGAAATAAAAGTCTGTTGGTTGCGGCTAAGTCCGATCTGCCATCAGAAAATATTTCTTAGGTTTTTTCCTCAAAAACCCGCCGAGCCGAGCCGAAGCTCTGTCCGAATTACGCCGAAAAAATGGCCGATTGGTGGCAAGGAGAAGGAGTTTTCGTCGATGAATTTCAAGCGGTATGTACTCATCATTCTGGTTTAATTTTTATTGTTGTTATAAGTTTTTTAATTAATCTATGTACTAACCTAGTTATTTTATCGTAGGTTGGGGAGGGCGTCGATATATACAACCAAAGGTATTATCTCGAGCAAGGACCGGTGGATCCAACCGACTTGTACGACCAAGCCAATCATCGGTCAAGGGATGTTTGGAACGATCACCCGGTACATACAATTCTTCACCATTTGTCCTTCTTTTATTTTGTTAATGTGCCTAGTGTAATATAAAATAAATTTATGTTTATTTTTTAATCGTGTTGGTGGTTTTCAATAATTTAATCGAATACATAGCGCCACTTACTTCGACTCTTTATAAAGAGATGCACGTCTAAGGAAATGGGGTTTTAAGCGATTATCATATCCTCCCATTACCTGGGAAAATCGGGTATTAAGAGATCCTCGGATCCCCCCTTTTTCTGTCAAAAAGACTGCGTTTCTAAGAAGATGTATACCTCTTCTAAGAGTCTAACGAGTGTTGCTTTGTATTCGATTAAATTATTTAAAACCACCAACACGATTAAATTATTTACCAAACATTTGAATATGTATGTTTCTACTTAAATTATTATTCATTAACAATGTTATTTATGTTAATTAATTAAATATGTTTGTTTTACGATAATATGTATGTACCTCTTTAAATTATTATTCATTGACAATGTTTTATGATAATATGAAATGTCCTTTTATGATAATAAAATTATGTTTTATGTTGCATAATTTAATTAAATTAATTTAGTTATACGAAAAAACACCCTTACTAATAATAATTAACGTGTAAAATTTTCGTAGGAGTCACAAACAATAATCCGCTACAGGGGTACCACAAATGTGCTCCCATTCCACCCCGCTATCTTGCCATTTCTCAAAAGGGCACGGTTAGACTCGATTAGGCATTTTAACGGCATCCAAATCGATCGTCAACTCATCACCGCATTGGCCGAGAGATGGAGAAAGGAGACCCATTGTTTCAACCTTAGAGAAGGGGAGGCCACCATCACGCTAAAGGATGTCGCCATCCTAACCCATCTGCCCATCGACGGCAAACCAGTGTGCGTGAGTGATCATCCCCCCGAGGATTGTGACGGTATGCCCGGTTGGCAGCATTTCATCCACGAGCATTTGGGAGTGAAAGTACCGGTGAAGGGGCACGTTGATGCGACCGATCGCATGCCACCATTGAGGAAACACCAAGTCTCAATTACTTGGTTGACGAAGTATTTTAGAGATCATTACGAGAGTCATCCGCTTACGGAGGAAAGTCCGGAGGATGAGAAGGAGAGATATGCTCGTGTCTATCTCATAGGCATGATCGGAGGAGTGTTCTTCTCCAAGAAAGCAAGCAATCTCCTTAGTTGTGGATGGCTTAGGATCATCTTCAGTAGTTGGGAGGAGATGGGGGAGTATAGTTGGGCATCTGCATGCCTAGCTATCATCTACAACAACTTGTGCAATGCGGCGAACAAAGCCGTGAGGGAGGTTGGCGGCGCAATGTTCATCGTCCAATTTTGGGCTTGGGAGCATTTTGGGCTTGGGAACAAAGCCGTGAGTAATCACAGGGATACAAAAGCCAAAACCATCAATAGAAGGCTTGAATGCCCAAAACAGTCTGCGAAAATGGCGTTCGTTACCTGCCTCTGGGGGTTGTATCTCTTCGTCTTGGTATCGAGGGGAGAACACAGTCCCAGGGTTAGACGCCTCCAATGCCAGTATTAGTCTGGGAAGGAATGCATACGATTCTTCCCAATCACCATAGACGGCGGCCATAGCTTTCTGCTTTCCATGCCACGCCTTCTTATAGTTAATCATATAACCAAAACGACTTGCAATGTCAGCGATTATGACTTTGATTTTCAGATCCGGTTCAGCCTCAATCAGATGCTTGATAGCCGCAGCAACCACCCTGGATTTCAACTGTCGATGGCCTTGGGAAGTTATGGATGACACACATGTGTGTGTGTTGACCGCACGGGATATGACCCAGTGGCCGTGTCTCTTGCTGTTGATGGCCCGAATCCTAACATTGCACCCCTCGTGATGATTACGGCATCTGACTATGAGCCTTTTGGTGTTGGAATGAGTTGTGTCCCATTCAAAATGCCGAGTCATTGCTTCAGTCTCAAGGGCGTGCCGCACATCCTTCTTCGAGCCAAATTGTTGGCCCTTCGTAAACCCAGTGAGTGGGCCCCATATTGGGACCTCTGGCGGCTCCATGTCGCTGTCGACCATCCAATTGTCGTCTGGAATGTGATTGTAGTAGGGGACTGGTACACGGTCAGGAGCCACATCACCATCATTATCCAAACCCGAATCTGGTGCTGAATCATCAGCACCTTCAAGAGGGTCTGAGCTGTCTGCACTGACGTTGTTTTCTCCTTCTTCATCAGAGGGGTCGCTGACTGGTCCTGGTGTGGCAGCATCCGTCTGATCCTGCTCATGAAAGGCACCTTCATCAGCTCCATAATGGTAGTTGTGAAAACTACCGCTGCCTGTCAGGAAGTTGTACTGGGCTTGGTTGGGGATGTCCGGTTGAACTTCTTCTTCATATGACGAGAACGATTGATGATGGCCTGCACCTTGCCCTCCATCTTGGTACTGAAAATAGGAATGAGGATCATGGTAACTTTGGTAGGGATGATCGTCATATAATTCACCTCCACCATGGATACCAGATGTTTGACCGTGTCCAGAATGACCTCCAACACTAACGGCTGGCTCGGTGTAAACGAACATCTCGGCTTTGTGCAATTTGTTGGACCTCAAGAATTCGAGCATGGAATCTACGTCATCTTGAGTGGTTATGGTATATTCCTCATGCCACAATGACCCAGTTGCTCTGTTTGGGTATCGGTACACCATACGATCTACCCTCCTCGTGCCATCCATGCAAGTAACGTCAGTGCATATTCGATGGAGGTCTTCAAGCTTCGGTCTGGTACCGACCGTTACTTTCTGAAAATTGCCACCGACGTAGGTGGCCCCCTTTCCGGTGTCTTCCGTGTAACCATTCCACCGTAAGCCAAGCAACAACTGACGGAATGCCATCTGCATACAAACAAACCATAGTTTTAGTTAATATCATAAAAATCACAAATCACAAATAACAATAAAAAGTAACACAAAATAAACTTACGAATTAATGTTAATGGCATAAAAAGTAACACAAATTAAAGTTACGAGTTCATGTTAATGGCATAAAAAGTAACACAAAATAAACTTACGAGATAATGTTAATGGCATAAAAAGTAACACAAAATAAACTTACGAGTTAATCTTAATGGCAAACACACTAAATAAATATAGATATACAACAGAAAAATGAAAGAGAATGTGAGGGAGAATGAGAGGTGTGAAGAGTCTGTTTTCCGGCAAGTCTTTATATAGGGGAAAAAATTGTGAAAACCGCACCTCTAGGGTGCGGTTTTAGTCTGCCATGCAACCTACGTCGATAATTCTCTGCATGTCTGTGATGGGTGTCGGGAAATAATTGACACGTAAACCGCACCTGGGGGGTGCGATCTACGTGGTGAAACCGCACCTTGCAGATGCGATTCATGTTTGGAGAAGTAAATCGCATGGCCGAGGTGCGATTTAGGTAGGTCAGGCCTAAATAGCACCTCGGCCATGCGTTTCATGTAGGCCAGACATGAAATCGCACGGGCAAGGTGCGATTTAGGCCCACCAAATCAGATCGCACTCTCAAGGTGCGATTTACGTGTAAAACGCATCTTGGGGATGCGGTTTATGTGTAAATCGCACCTGGAGGGTGCGGTCAATATAAAAGGGTGCTAGTTTTGTAAATATTTTTGGCAGGGTGCTATTTTTGTAATTTTTTTTTTAAAGGGTGCTATTATTGGAAAAATCTCCCCAAATTGCATCTCTTATACTAATTTCAAGAAAATTTTTTATGAAAACCCAATTACCTCGTTTGCGCTCGCGGCTCCGTCCGGAGGCGTGAATGACGTCGTCGGACTCGTACCCGGACGCCACGGCGTCGGCGACGAAGGGGTCCTGATTCCCCTGATCATACTGCGACAGGTTGTTCATGCTCACGCTCTTCCTGAACGAGTTCGTCCCCGCCGTGACTCGAACCCCGAACAGCATAATCCGCCCTCCCCCGCCGTGCCACCTCTTTCGTCGCCGGAATTGACTCTACTCTACTCCTCCGTGGCTGCTTCTCGTCCCTGGGAATATTATCTCTGCGTGTGGAAATTGTTATCGGAGACAAAGTGAGAGACAGAGAGACAGAGGGGAAATCTGGGAAATTTGTGTCGCTGATTGTTGATGATGATAAAGAAAGGAGAGAGAAAGAGGGTGTGTCTGGGTTTTTTGGGGATCGGACGGTGGGGAGATGGACAAACTTTAAGCGGGAGGAATGGATCGGGTCCGTCCGTTCTTTGCCGATGCAAACATGGTCGGCGTTGAAGAAGCAAAGCGAGGCCGGCGGTGGAGACGATCGCGTCATGGCCACGGTGGAAATTGTAAATATTTATATTTTATTATTTTTTAATGGCCACGTCACTCATTTAACGGTCAACTATAATAGTTGACTGCCACATCAGCAAAAACTAACGTAGACTAACGGAGAGTGACCAAACTTGAACTATTGAACTAATCTTAATGACCACGAATGAAATTAAATATTTGCAGTGACCAAACATGAACAGTTTTAGTAAACCCAGTGACCATCCTTACAATTAACCCGTAGTAAAGAGAGGGCTTATGGTGGAAAGTTTCCTGTATAGAGCGACCCCAAATTGGAGGGAAAAGGAAGGAAACACTTCTTTCTTCTTTTTTCTTTTCTTTTGCCGCCTCTTTAGCCCTTCTCTTCCCTTTCTCTGTCTCTCTTTCACACTCCCCAAACTAGGGGTGGGCATTGGGTGGGTCGGGTGGATTTTGACCATAAAATGCACCCACCCGCGTTTAAACGGATTGATAATTTTTAACCCACCACCCACCCACATTTAGTCTCGGGTTGGGTCGGGCGGATGGTGGATGATTTGGGTGGGTTTGTGGGTTCACCCACATCACAATGTATATAATATAAAGGAGTCAACTTGACATGATAATAGGCGAAGAGAGTTATATGGGGAAACAAGAAGATGAAATAGCGCGAAAATGTCGAATTAGTTCTTAAAATGGATAGAAATTCTATGATGAAAGAGTTTTCTACAAATTGAGATGATTATCAGGTGCAAGAAACTAAGAAAAATAATTCCACAAAGGAAAGAGCAGTGATTTAGGCACAAGAATTAGAGGAAAAAATAAAGGGAAGAAGAGGGGATCGCTATTTGGAAGGTTGGCTTTGAGGTTTAAACTCCAGGAGCAGTCCTAGTTTATGTCTAACGTCTCCACTCTCCCCTCTCTAGCGCCGACGACTTTGATCTTTTTGTTGTTGGGTTGAGCGGGTCACCCGCGCACCCACCCACAACCCACCCACCACCCGGCGGATGGCTCCCAGCGCAACCCGCCACCCACCCATAGACCCACCCACTTAACGAAATTCGGGTCAAATGCGGGTGGGTCGGCCCAAACCCGCGGATGCTCCGCCCGCATGCCCAGCCCTACCCCAAACTACCATGACCCCACCAAAGGCTATGAGGAAATTAATCAAATAATGGTGGAGCAAACATAATAACAAGTATAATGAAAATATAATTTTTCTACAGTATGAAAATTCTTTTTACGTGATGTAATTTTTAATATGCTTATACTTAGTAAATAGTTATGGTAATTGAGAATTGATTTAATACTTAAGTTCAATAAATTTTAATTGATTTAGAATGTTTGATCAATTATTATAAAGTCTTAGTTATAATAAAGTCTCTATTTTTAAATAATTGGTGTGATTAAATCACGATTTGACAGCAAAATACCTTACCACAAATTCTTCCGGTACAATCTCTAGTGCGGTTTAGAAAGAAAGTACAAATTTGATTCACAATTCAAATATTAACATGCAATCAAATTATTTTACTATTATATAACAATAAATAATATATTAATCACACTTCCCAATACACACTTTCCTTCTCACTTTCTTTCATAAAACAACATTTTCCTCCCAATTTTCTTCACCTCCAAATTTCCCCTCCCCTCCTAATTTTCTTTCACCTCCCCTCATTTTCCTCCCTTCCTTCGGAAACATAGTGGATATGTAAGATGTAACTACAGTCCAGGGTTTAAGGTTAGTGTATAGAGTATATGGTTATGGTTTAGAGTTAGAAGGATTAGGACGTATGTTCTTCACAATAATCAAATATAAAATTGACTTAACTTACATTCTTCACATAACATACGTTCTACCAACAATTTCATAACATATAACTATAGTTCATGGGTAACTTAGTGTATAGGGTATATGGCCATGATTTAGTGTTATGGTTAAGGGTTTTGGTTAGTTTTAGGGTTATGAATGGTTGATGGTTAATGTTAGTTTCAAGTTTTACGGTTAGGGTTTAGGGTTTCTTCATGGATATGCAATTATGCTTTATGATTTAGTGATTTAGGGTTTATGAATTATGATTAAGGAGTTATGATATTCGATCAAAAAAACATATGACTTTTATTAAGGTTAACTAGCCCACTAACTCTTTGGTTAGTATTTCTTTGGTGATAGATATTTTGGTTTTATATTTTTATTATCTAATTTGATTTTAAAAATTAATTTAACTATTAGGTAGAAATATACATTTCAAATATTTTGAAAACTTGAGAATACATATAGTAAATATATCATATATTTAAATGACATTTCAACCCGCCACTCATTTGTTTAATATTGTACATTCATGTTTTTTTCATTGCAAAATAGTGATTGGTGACTTTGTTTTCAATTAGTAAAATAACTAGTCATTTAAAAAAAAAATTCGATTGTTTGGACCAAACAACCCGCAACCCAACCTGTTTGTAACCCGATTAACCCGCAATCCAATCAACCCAAACCCAATTGACCTGCAATCCAATCAACCCACAACCCGACTGATCCACAACTTCACCAACCCGAACCCGATTGACCCATAACCCATTTGACCCGAGCAACTCGATTGACCCACAACCCGAGCAACTCAAACCCACTTGACCCGCAACCCGATTAAAACGTGACCCGTTTAAACCAATGTTGTCAGAACCGAACCGGAGCATGACTCGGTAATGCGAACGGCTCGCACTTTAGTGGTCCAACCGGCATTAGACCGTTTAAAAACCGTTAGAGAACCGGTACCTAATAAACGTTATCAGTATAAATAGTGGACATTTCTTAATCAGAGCTCATCTCTTTCTTTCGAAATTGTGAAATGGAAATAAGGATTCAATTTGAGAGCCCGACGTTTTTGATTTATTTCAATTTTCAATTTTCTACAACTTTTTTAATTAAATTTAGTGGCTGAATGGCAAAAACCGGACGAGCGGCTCGATCGACTCGAACGGTTAACCGCCTTGGCCGCTCGCCAACCGCTACATAAAACCGGAGCGGCTTTTAGATTGTTCCGAGCCGGTTTTGTGACCGGGTGGCGATTTTACCGGTCGGACCGAGCGGCTTGGCTCGGCTTTAATGACACTGGTTTAAACCCTACCCGGTGGGTATAGATTTCACCAGGGTGGTGCAAGCAACTAGGAAGAGATGGCTAGTTTTCCAAGGTGCCAGCTTTTTCTGGATATTCAAACTGGCTTCACTGATAATTTTGAGTTCTGAACCAGCCTAGTCGATGTTAGGATCGAAGAAATCCCTTAAATATCTCTCTACATGGCAAGAAACTCCCTAAACTCATCGTACGCAGAGTTCAGTGTGAATCCTGAAACTGAAATCGATACAAGTGCAGAAGGCAGAGTAGTGCTTAGCTACTTCAGTTACTTTGAAACGTATCGATAATGTACAAGACATACAGCTGCTGGAGTTCTTTACAGCAGAACTTCGGAGATTACAGCTACAAACATCTGTATGTGGCTCGCTGGAAGTCCTCACTGACAAATTTATAAACTGTTAATAATCGATCTTTCTGGAGCAAGCGGGCTGTGCTCTTGACACTCGACTCACATTAGTGAAAGATACATGAATAAGATCACTTAAAGTTTAGAATACCCGAAGCGATATACATACTGTGTAACATGTACATGATTATACATATTGCTACTACTATGCATTTGGCTTCGCCCAAGACAAATTGAACAGGAAATTAATTCGTCTATAAATAACTTTACCATACTACTACAGTGGAAACGTCAATTTGAGCCGAACTCTTCGTTCCACCGCTCAAGTTCTTGCCACTTGCTTTTGCTTAAGCTAGGTCTGATCACTGTCATTGCCTTCTGGAAGTCATTGTATCTTAGGGGTCTCACCTGAGGTGAGAATATTGGTTATCAATTATCATTGCATTGCAACCAGTTGCGTGCGTGATTCAGAGGGCAACACTTAACATTTTGGTGAGTCGTATATAGGTGAAAAGTTTTACCTGGTTGGCCTTGACGTTGAGAATACTGGCACCAAGCTCTCTAATTGGCATCATTGCGGCTTCTTCACACAGTGCTTGTAGATCACTTCCAGAGTACCCTGCAGTGGAAACAGTAGTTAACTTTTTTACTTTGGTCCCTTTTACTTCGAAACAGGAATAAGGTAATGATATAATTATGTAATTTGGAAAGCTGGTTTTGCGTTTCACAATTATTAGACGGGGTTCGTCATTGTCGAGTGGCCTTTACTGTAAATAATGACAGTAGTCTGGCAGCTAACATATGCACAGAGGACAAATGTAGTCCACTCAAGATCTTATACAGGGCCAATGTGGAGCGATTGTCTTCTTACCTTCTGTCTCTCTAACAAGCTTATCAAGGTCGCCGCCTGAAATACACAAGATTATACGTGTTATTCCTTTGAAGATAAAAGAGGACATGACATAACAGCCACTAATTACAGTATGACAATTCATGCCAGTCGCGCTATATAAATAAAAGTGCATGTTGTTAGTAAAAACTAAAAACCACACATGCAAGGAAGAATCACTATGTCGGTCAAACAGAGTACTGAAAATTCATGCAAGGGGCATAAAGGAGCAACCCATAGACGAAACATACATGTCATCTTGGCAAAAACGAAGCACACACATATATCAGAGCATTTTAGTCTGTCTCATACCACTAAATGTTCTAGACCCAACATGAGAATCTGAACCCACTTCAGAACTGTAATTAATCTTCGACAAAAGATCTCCATGCGCATTACACTTCACATAAAAAAGTTAAACCTAATCCCTCCAGAAGAACAGCACTGCGAGATACTAATTTTCAGAACAAATCCAGACTAGCATGAGCTACTGAATGAGGGAGGATATACTTACCAGGTAAGGAAAAAGCCTGTCCTTTGAGTTTATGCTTCAAAAGGAGCCTCCTAACTTTTTCATCAGGTAGTGGAATGTATATTCTCTTAACCTTCACGTTTTCGGATAAAACTGATGAGAATCCTATACTAGCACAAGAGGAACTCAAACTTCAGGTAATTATAATAAAGTATACCAACCAGCCTCCTAAGAACTGCGTCGTCCAATTCTTGAGGTTTATTCGTCGCTCCTGCGCACCATGCAAACGAAGAGAAATAAGACGAAAAGCCAGATCACGTCGAAGGGATCAAACCCCAGGGTAGCAGCACATTAAGGATCTAGATTTCAGCACAGTTTGACATTTTTTAACCATGAAGATAAACAAAAATGCTCAATTCCAGGATATAATATTTTGACATCAACTTTCGTGCTTCACTTTTCTTCTTCTTATTCCCAAAATGCACATCAACACTGTGGCATCTGCATCATTAGTACTGGAAACTTCATTCAAGGTTGAAAGCCGAATATGACATGCCTCTATGGCGAGTTGAGAATGAATGGGCATGTTGGAAATCGATCATCTCAATAGGAAACAAAAACAAGAGCGTGGTTCGTTTTTTCTTTTATCTTCCTTACATCTTAGACATAGAGGGAAGGTATAATCCTATCTCAGGACTTTGTTGGTAGTTATAGTGTCAGTTCAAAACAAATTACACATACGATGCGTTGTGTTAGTGTTTATATGTTTGTGCTTCCCACCAAATGAGACAAAAATATTGCCAGTACTCACATCCAAAATAAAACTCTTCAGGAACCACATAGTGCTGATAGCTTAAAATGCTAAACCTTTCAAAAATAAGGTCCATACTGAAGCAGGTGGTATTTAACTGGGGCACTCCATTGAAACTTTAATTGGCAACTGATAAAGCTGTTTCTATTGAAATTATGTACTATTTAATGCAGCAAACATATAACTTACCAATTACAATTACTAGATCATTGGAATTAGACGTCACGCCATCAAACTGTATCAGAAATTCAGATTTCAACCTTCTGCTAGCATCATTCTCATCAGCCTTCCTAGTTGACATCACACTATCTATCTGTTCAGAAGCACAAAAAGTGAAGAACTCAATATAGCTGCGTAGTAAGGAAGTTTGCCATTTTAATCATATAAAGTTCCATCGTGCTACGTCAAGCGGAGAGAAGAGTCCAAGTGTAGTATAATACAAAAAAGAAAAGCCAGAAAGTAGAAAAATGCAGATTAGCACATATGCTAAGTTAGTTTCCTTGGAACTATAAGTGAGCTACTATGAATATGTAGAGCTTGTAGAACCATTTGGTATTTGATACTATGAACACAGTCCATGTAGATGCTGTATATCACTGCTGGCAAAGCAAATTAGGCATCCCCAGATAACTGAAATGCATTTGCAAGTAACGAAGAAAAGAACTTGCAAAAGGATGAAACACAAATGTGTTTCCACTACTGTGATTCGCTTAAACTAATAGGAAGAGACAGTTTCACATACTTCATCCATGAAGATTACAGAGGGCTGTCTTGATACAGCAACTGTAAACAGAGTGCGAACAAGCTTTTCAGCCTCTCCCACCTGATCCAGTGACGAACAAAAATATCAACTAACGCACAGAAGTATTAAACAAAGAAGAAACCTGAAGCAAGAATTCAAAATCTTTTACTTTTTTGTAACTTACTACCCCTTTTGCCTGTTTTATTTTTATTCATCCCCCGGCCAAAAAGAAAAGAACAAAAGAAGAGAGAAGAAAAATGAAAGACGTACCCATTTTGATGTCAAAGAAGATGCTGAAACATTAAAAAAAGTAGCCTGTGATTCTGAGGCAACTGCCTTGGCAAGCATTGTTTTACCATTTCCAGGTGGTCCAAAGAGAAGTAGGCCTATAAAAGAGGTAAACCAAACCACAAATCACACAAAGAACAAATACAACCATCCTACAGGGTTTACATCATGAAAAAGCTTCAGAAGCTCTGATTAATGCGACACATAGGCCTAAAGTCCACTTTGCTACCTCTGGCTGGTCTTCTAAGTCCAGTGAACAGATCTCTCCTTTTAGTTGGCAAAATAACCATTTCCAATAAGGCTTGCTTCGCCTTCTCGAGACCAGCTGCAGAGAATGTGGATACACAAGCATATAATATTCAGGCTAATAAAAGTCGAACACCAAGACAAAGTGAAGTTTGTTGAGATTTCTCACCAACATCTTCCCATTTAACAGAAGGACTCCTATCCACTATAGCTGTATTTATCATTTCAACCAATTTGGCTTCATAACTATTTGAGGATTCTCCAGGCGGTTTTACATAGCTAGCTCTCGTGCTCTGATTACCAAGTGCTGAACCGTTCCTTGTTGGCCTCCTTGGCAAATCTTGTCTAGAAGTCAATGGTTTTTCCTTTTGGTGAGATCTTGAAGTTGATGTTGATGACAAACCTGCAGCAGTATAGGTTTGAGTAAAGTTGTACTGGTAGTTCTGCAAACGATATGGCAATATAGACGGCAAGTTTCACAAATCAAGGTGCTGTAGTGATTCACAGATGCAAAACTTCAATGTATAACAAGTTTATCCAAGTTGTGTACACAAGTTTAGAGTTCAATTACACAAGAAGGACAACAGACCTGTGCTTGGATTTAAAGCGTGCAGTCTCTCAGAAACTTCGCCCTGCCACTTGGAGATCTTCTGACGGTAAGATGTGACCTTCTGTTTTTCACTGTGGGCCATCATGGATCAAATCCCTTAATCAACAATCAGAACTAACCAACTGACTGACTGAAAAGAGAAGAAGAAGAAGAAGAAAACAACTAAATTATCTCTAACGCGCGTTCGGGTTTCATCTAACTTCGTCTTCAGACTAATCAGCTTTACGGGAAACTAGCGAGGGAACTCAAATTTCAAACCCATGAAACGAATTTGGATGAACAAGTGTTACCTGGAGCTGATATAAGAAGGGGCAGAAATGGAACTCGCTTCCATTAGTATACGCTGGGCATTCTTGTAATGGACGATGGCGTCATCGACCAAGCCCTCTTCTTCGTTGCTCACGGCCTTATCGATCTCTTTGGTTGCTAGATCACAGTATCCTTTCAACTTATAGGCGCAAAGTTCGTTGGAAATCCGAGCCCCAGCAACGCCCTCCATGCTCCCGGGGCTACGTCTTTGCTGGGGAGAAGTTGAATTCTCGGGCGAGAAGACTGAAGACAGGGAATCGATCACGTCCTTCCAAAAACTCATGCCCTGATCGCCGTCGTCAACGATTATTGCACGGCTCCCGACAAACTAATTCGGTCCGCCGACGGTTAAATCTTCAAACTAGCGGCCGGTACAAGCTAGTTCAACCTATATCGGTTGGAATGTTTTTGTATCATGATGGTGCACGTTTTCTCACCCTCTAGGTCATTAAACTAATTTTGGTCATTATTATTATTGTTTATTTAGATATTCTTATGGTTATTATTTTTTGTTAAGGAAATTATTGTTTTGGGAGTTGGTCTAGGATTAGTTTACCTTGTTCGGGAGGAAAAGAGTTTATAGGATTATTCCTATAAATATGTACTTTGTCTCTACGTTTTAATCAATCAAAGAAGAATAAATCAGTATTTCAGTTTATTTTAGTTTTACTTCGTACGATTACGCGATGGACGAACTGATCGTCCATCAATTGGTATCAGAGCCTGGTTCGAAAGAATCGAGCTCTTACCGGCTCCCAGGGCAGACATCGTCGACGTTCAACCACCAACGTCGGGAAGAGGTCCTGCGCGCAACCATGCTCCGCAACGACAAGATGGACGGATCGCCTACCGAGGCGCCACCAACGAAGAAGCTAACTGTAGCTTCGCCATCATCGACCGCTGCCGCAGTCAAGGAGGGAGGTTTCCGTAGGCAACTCCGCGAGATGAATAAGCGCATCGACGGGCACGATCAACAGTTGCGCGAGGCAGCAGCGGAGCGGGGTCAGCTCCGATCCGACATCCAACTTCTCAAGGACGGACAGAATGGCCTCCAAGTTGAAGTTCAGCAGTTACGCAAGGAGGTGCAGCAGGGTATAGAGCACATGGGCAACGAGATACGACGAGACCTCGAACAGGTGGGGAACTCACTGCGAAAGGATCAGCAAGCGTTCCTACGACGGATCGAGGAACTTCTCGTATGCAGGTACGGATGGGCTAGATAGGGGAGCAGCGAGGGTTCCAAACCCAACTCAAAATCGTACGACGGTGAAGATTTGAGTGATGAAGACAGCGGAGGAGAGATAACGCCGAACTGCCGGTTCGAACAGCTAGCACTACCGGCAACGGGAGCGGCGCGACGAAAACTCGCCGTCGAAGCAGGTGGGGGACGAGTCGGTCAGCTAGGATTCGACATGGGGGAATCAGCTCCCTTGCGTCCTGAGTTCGGGTTCCGATTCGATGGAGGGTTGGGCCGCAATCAACAGGCCAGACATGGCGCACATCGAAACGGACTCAGGGTACGTATAGGAGGACTCACGCATGGGCTCTTATACGGAGTGGGCTCGAGCGTGGGTCGCAGGGTGGAAGGGCGTTGGTCGAGTGGGCCAACGGGGTCGGAGGAAAATAGTAGTGGTGCTGCTGAGAGTTTCGGAGCCGGGCCGATGGGATCTCCCTCCCTGGTAGGATATGTTAAAGAGTCGGCGAGACCTGGGGTATGCGAGCGAGTGTTGGAGGAAGGGGCTCCAGGGGGCCCGAGGCTTTCAAATAGTCACCTAGCGGTGATCGAAATGTGTCTGGAAGGAGGTGCCTCGAAGTGGATGAAGCCGGAGCATGGTGTTGATCATAACGGGTTTGACAATTTGCTTCGTGGTGAGTAATTGGGTCATGGTAGAAGTGAAAGCATGCATATGGGTGTCTGGAGTATTGGATCTGTAGGAGGATTCCTTGTATTGCATGAGAATCAACTTAGCATGGACATGGGTGAAGTGGTCCAGGGAACGCATAGAAGGATGGGTTTGGAATGGGGAATTCGTAGCTTGGTGTTGTCAATTACAGGAGTTGAATATGTTGCAGAAACCCATTTGATGAACTCTTAGGAGCTGTGGAGGTTGGAATTGTTCGAGAGTCCGGGTGTAATTGGAAGTTCCGTAAACGAGGGCGGCATCAACGAACATCCGTCTTATTCGCCATCGTCAACAAATTTTTCATCGATCCGGGTTAAGACGACATTTGAACTTCGGGGACGAAGTTCTTCGAAGGGGGGAGGATTGATGGGTGCACGTTTTTAGACCGTCTAGGTCATTAAACTAATTTTGTTTATTATTATTATTATTATTATTGTTTATTTAGATATTCTTATGGTTATTATTTCTTGTTAAGGAATTTATTGTTTAGGAGTTGGTCTAGGATTAGTTTACCTTATTTGGGAGGGAAAGGGTTTGTAGGATTATTCCTATAAATATGTACTTTGTCTCTACATTTTAATCAATCAAAGAAGAATAAATCAGTATTTCAGTTTATTTTTGTTTTAGTTCGTACGATTACGCGATGGACGAACTGATCGTCCATAATATCACCATCAAATTTCGGGGTTGGATAGAGCTGGTGTACTAGCATGGATTACTTATGTGGTACACCCATCTATAGGGTGGTCACGTGAGTGGTTAATTCGCGGATTGATATCGATTCACCCATAAATAATCTGACCCACACAGTGGGTGATTGATATGGGTGGATTGCGGATTGATAAATCTCCCACCCGCACTTATGTGGGTAGGTGGTGGGTGGATTGCGGGTCACCCGTATGACCCGCATCCTATTTTTATATGAAAAAATATTGTTTCTTATATTTTCGAACGACACAACAGTCTGACCATATACTTCAAAATGTAGAGAATAAAGAATAGTTTTGACTACTATTATTGGTTATTGTGTTGTGCAATATTCATTAGATATTGGATATTGGTATGCAAATTATTGTTAATATCCAGTAAATCTTGGGATTCAAAGTATAAATTATTAATTGTATCAAAATCACAAATTATTGATACAATCTTACTAATTTGCTATGAACTTATTATAAATGTTAGTCAACTTTCTTAATAGCTAGTTGGAGAATTGTTTTTGCGGGTTGACCCGCGACCCAACCGCACTCACCCGCGACCCACCCAACCCAACCCACAAAAGTATGTGGGTGGATTGTGGTTCACAATTATTCCAACTTACTAGTAAGCGGGTGGGTCAATTTGAGACCAAAACCCACCCAACCCGCCCATTGCCCACCCCTACCCAACTAATTGTTCTTAACCATGTGTCCAATTAAAATATCATTCTCGATTTTCTTTTTATGCTGGCAGTAGAGGGAGTAAATCAGGTCATTAACCTTATGGTTAGTAATTATGAGTAACTCGTTCACATCAACATCAATCAGTATCCCTCTCTCTCATGGAATTTTTTTTAATCTTTTCCACTTTAATCTTTAGCGGACGATTTCTCTCTTGTTTTAAGTCAAAATTTAAATTTTTTTGCACAGATAAATCAAATTAATTGTTCTCTTTAAAATGATATCCACTTTTATATATTTTAGTACAAAAAAAATTGAGTCGTTTTTCACCAGTCAATACCATATGGTATGTTCATATTTAATACCATATGGTAAGAAAGTGTACCATGATGGTATGAACATACCAATATGGTAGGAAGGTTGAATACACGATAGTAGGATTATACTAACTATCATTTACGACTTTCATCATTGTTTACCACAAGTTATCACCCACATACCATAGTGGTAAAGTATGGTAATTTTTTGTCCTGTATTTTTTTTCACCCAAAAATTTATAGATTCAATAGATCATGATGAACTCGTTCCTTCTGAGAAAACGTTTTCAAAAACCACTTAAAAACTAAGAAGTTGAGATATGGTATGTAGTTGGTAACGGGAGGTATGAAAAAAAGTTTCTCGAAAAATATTAAAATTGATCTTATTTTGTAGAGCACAATGAACTCGTTCCATCTGTGCAAAAAAAATTGAAATCCGAGTTAGAACGAAGAAGATAAGAGCTGATTAAGAAAACTAGGGAAAATAAATTGCATTTAATTCACAACCCTTAAATCTGAATTTTCTGGGCCCACTTAAATCTAAAGGTTCAAATTTAGTTACTCATAGGTCAGTACTAACCGTATCCCAATTCGACAGTAGAAACTAGATAAAAAACTAGTAATTATGGAAAAGGCTAAATGGAAACTGAAAAAGATTAAACGAGAACAATACGGGACAATAAAAAAAAATGCGGAACTACTTTCCTTTTTTGTTTACAAAAGATAATCATATATTGATTCGAAAAATAGGAAGTTACATCATGGAATTCGGCCAGGTATGAAAATCAAAGAAACGACTCGTAGTCGGGTACAATGAGAGGGCCTTTCTAGCCACCAAATGTGCTACCATATTACTACTCCGACCTACAAATCGAACACTAAACCTGGTATGACTTGCGAAATAATGCACAATTTCCTCAAGTATAGACCCCATTCGATGGTCACTAATATCAGCTTGTATGATCTTCTCGATTACCACTTTGGCATCTCTTTCAAACCTCATTTTTGTAAAGTCGTGGCCCAGACACCATAAAATAGTCTCCCGGAGAACGAGTAAATCGACCACCATATGGTCATCAACCAACGAAAATTCAACCCCAGCCACCAAAAGGATTTCTCTAGCTGGGTTCAGAATAATCATCCCGCCTACCAAATGAGACCCATGTCTTGTTGCCCCTTCCACATACAAACAACCAAATTAGACCCACCAGGTCCCAAGTTGTGTACGAGAGGGATGGAAGACTGGATTACTTTCCTTCGTCCAAATTAGACCCACCAGGTCCCAACAAATTGGGCACCTGGGAAGCATAGAGATCTCCTTCTCAATTAGGGCTTTTAATGTTGGCAGGATTCGGTAAAAGATTTGCCAGACAAACACTTGTAGCTTAGGTGAGATATTAGCCTCCCAAAAACAAATACAGCTGGCCCTATCCATCCAACTAGCCATTGATCTCCATTGAACCCGCTACTGATCTAATAGAACAACAAAGTGATAGGCCGACTTAACAGTGAAAACCCCATCTGTCGTGGCATGTTAGTGGGAAAATACTTCCATTTGTAAACTTCAGCTAAGAGGGACCAGGGGTCATTAAGGATGCGCCATCCAATTTTACATAAGAGAGCCTGATTAAAATGTTCAAATCGGCGAAATCTCATACCTCCGTTATGCTTACTCCTGCACATATTACGCCAAGACATCCATGGAATCCTCGTTTGGCCCTCTTCAACACCCCACCAGAAATGGGCCACATGTTTGTCCAGGAGTCGACAGAGAGAGAGAGAGGCAACTTGAAACAGGACATAACATGTAAAGGCAACGCTAAGGCAACTGACATAATCAAAGTTTCCTTAGCTTCCCAATACAGTGTCCTGTGCTTCCAGCCCTGCAGCCGCTCCAATAATTTCTCCTCCGAATAGCGGAATGTAGCCATTTTAGATTGGGAGATCAGCATAGGAAGGTCCAGGTATTTATCGTGGATCCCCACAACCCCGATTCCCAGAATCTGAGCCAAGAAATCCTGGTCCGGCAGAGCAATGTTCTTACTAAAACAAACTGCCGATTTTTCCAAGTTCACTCTCTAGCCACTGAGCTCCTCATATCATTCAGTACCTCGATCAAATTCTCACATTACTGGAGGGAGCCTCGAAGAAATAAATAAGAATCATCGGCAAAAATTAGGTGTGAGATTCGGGGAGCTCTAGGTGCGAGATGATCTGGGGTAAAACACAAGTCAGTCTTTCCACAATGATTTTGGTTATCACTTTATTAAAAAACTAGCATAAGCTGATAGGCTCGAGTTGTCTCATGTTCTCTACGTTTTCCACTTTAGGGATTAACGTAAACCAAGTATGATTAAAGCTCCGGAGCATCGCACTCGTTGTAAAGAACGAGCAGACAACTTCAATGATAGAAATGCCAACAATATCCCAGATGGCCTTAAAGAATTTCCCCTTAAACCCATCAGAGCATGGTGCCTGCTTTGATCCCATGGAGAATACCGTTCTCCTAACATCACTTGGGAGGACATCAGCCGTGAGACTGGCATTCATTGCTGGTGTAACACTATGAGGTATGGGAAGATCAACCACCCTCTCAACCATATTTAACACCAGGTTCTCCTTTCCTTTACCAGTAATCAATTGTGGAGGAATTAAACAATGCTCGTACTATTAAAAAACAAAAACAATGTTCTTGGTTTTCATGTACAAACTGAATTTGTATTATTTTGCTACAATGTAAAACTTGTAACATCCCGATCCTTTTCTCAACGAAGATATTGTTCGCTTTGGGTCTCGACCCTTACGGTTTTTGACATGGGGTGCAATTTAAGGTGACTTCCCATAAGGTCGCCCATCCTATTTGTACTCCACACTAAGCACGTTTAACTTCGAAGTTCTTACAAGAACTCCTCCATTTCACCCCAAAATGCGTCTTGTCAGTTAAGGCCGGTTTTTTACTTGCGAACCATAGATCTCTCCCGTACTTTGTTGATGTGGGATTCGCCTAAGATGCTACATACATGATAGCATCATATTTTCACATGTTTTCACCCTTGTTTCTTAATCGTTTTAGCTCGAATTTGTGGTTCCTTGGCCTATATTACGCCAGGTTGTGATATTTTTTTCACATTTCAAGTCCTAGCAGGTAAAGGAAGGCTTAGGCGCAAGTTTCGGGTCGTTTGGAGATCATTTGGTGGGGTTTGAGACAAATCATCGTTATCCCCTGCACCAAATACGATCGTGATTCACATGATTACTGCCGGTATTTTTTTTATGTCGAGCATGGTGAAGGCTCAGGTGAGAATTATGGTCAAACTTCCCATAAATACGATCGTATTTCTCCAGCGTCCAACTCGTATTTTTATGGTCGAGGCTAGCCCTTGAAGATTTTTTAAGGAAGGCAAATTATGGACAGACGAAGACAAAAATACTGCCAGGGCTATTAAAAATACTGCCGGTAATTTTTAGAATACTACCAGTATTTCCCCAGACGCACCATGGATTTCTCTGTCTCAACTTAACCAAAATGCGCGTTTTGGGATAAATATGGACAGAGGAGAAATATGACCGTATTCTTGCCCGTCTTTCACCCAGTATCGGGGTAAATAGGCAAATTCGAGCAAAATGAAGGGGATTCAAATTTTTGGAGAAAAATAGAGTTCTAGTGAGAGAAAGGGACGGAAAACAACCCCTTGGAGCTATTTGGAGTGGATTTCTTACCATTGAATCCCAGATTGCGTCTCCAAGAGTGAAGATTGACATCCCAAATAGGGGTGGGCAACGGGACGGGATTGGGTACCCGTCCCGTTTGAAACGGGTACCCATTCCCATTTGAAGAGAAAACTTCATCCCATGTCCCAAACCCATACGGGTAACGGGTACCCATTACCCGTACGGGACGGATAACGGGTACCCGCGGGTACCCGTAAAATGTGTGATTTTCGTTATTTGGACTTTCATTCACTGAAAAGAGTTTCAAATGGAGTTGGCTCTAGCAATTACATTATGGTAAGGTGATTACGTTGAGTTTCAATCTCTTTCCAGTGGTTGTTGTCCTTTATTCTTTGTTTTATTCCCTAACAGATCTCTGTGGGGAAAAGTAACGTTAGATCATTTAAACTAATCATAGAATAATTAATCTACAAGCCTTAATACCAACACCGTCGATAAAGTTAGATGTGTGGTCTGGAGATGAAGTCTGTTTGGATGAAGTCTGTTTGCTATTTGATCAATTGCCACTTCCCGACTTAGTTTATCAATATACAAAAATTCTTCCAAATCAAACAATCGCTTGGCTGGATGGGTAGTACGGGTACCCGTAATACCCAAATGGGTATTAACGGGTAACCCGTGGGTACCCATTGTAGAACTTATTGATCCCAAATCCCATCCCGTAAAATATATTGCGGGTATTTGGGTACCCGTAACCCTCAATAAACGGGACGGGTATGGGTATTTGGGTTCCCGACTTATTAATACCCGTTTCCCGTTGCCCACCCCTAATCCCAAAGCAAATTATTCCCATCTTTATGAGTATGACTGCTTTGATTGCTGTTTTCCCCTCTCTCTATGAAGTAGACCTATCTCTCACTTAGGTATAAAGAACCCTAGTTCAATGTGTAAGGGATCTTGATTATAATGACTTTTGGGACGATATACTAATTGGTTTTAATCAATTTATGTGTGTTTATGGAGTCAATTAATTCTGATCAACTTCTTTTGATTTCTGCTTCAACGTGTGATAGATAGAATCTGATTAGGTAGTTAGAGCTTCTTCAATCGATATGAGTGAATTGATTGTACGAGAGTCAGTCAATTCACTACTTTGTAATGGAGTTCGTTTCCATTAGTGGATTTCTGTGTTAATTGCCTTAGCATTCTATCCCGATGAAGGCTAGTCGTCTGCCGGATAGTCTGTCTAAGAGGGCTTGGTCAGCTTAAGAGATTCGAAGCTACTTTCGGATCTTCCGCTGTTTAATCAACACTAAATCAAAAAAAGGGAATTACAACTTGAACCTAACTAAGGAGCTAGGGGGACTCATTCACTGGTGACTCTTCTCTTGCTTCAGACACCGAACCATTTACTGCTTTCTTCCTTCTTTAGTAAAAACTCATTCTCACTCAACTTTCCCCCGTAGATAATAGATAATCACAGAGTAGGCAGTACATCTAGGTCCCAGGTTGACTTTTATTACTTGATCCCACTATATTGCATTTCTTAACGAAGATATTGTCCACTTTGGGCCTCGACCCTCATGGTTTTTGATTTGGGGTGCAATTCAAGTTGATTTCCCATAAGGTCACCCATCCTTGTTGTACTCCACACTGAGCATGTTTAACTTTGAAGTTCTCACAAGAACTCCTCCATTTCACCCCAAAACACATCTTGTCAGTTAAGGTCGTTTTCTTACTTAAGAACCATAAATCTCTCCCGTGCTTTTTTGCATAGTAAAGGAAACCGGATCGTACCGGCCGGTTGAACCGGTAAAACCGGAAACCGGCGCCTGGCCGATACGGTAGCTGGTTTGTAGTAAAATAGTCGTTCCGGCTGGTTTTCCCGGTAAAACCGGTTCAATTCAAAAAACCGTCCGGTTTTGGTCTAACCGGGGGTAAGCTGATAGGAAGGACACGACGTCGTTTTGGCATTAGGAAAAAAAAAAATCAGCCGAAGCCTCAAAAACAAAACCCTAAATCATCGGCCGCAGTCTTCGTTTTTCGTTTGCTGCTGCTGGCGACCAGGACCGCGGTCCTCCCTCCTCTTCTTCTCGAGCGGCGACCCGGCGATCCTCCTCTCCTCTTCTCGACCGGCGACCAGGCCAGCTCCGCGCTGCTCTGCGGTTGCTCTGCTCCGCTCTGCTCCAGCGGCTGCTCCGCGTTGCTCCCCACCTCTTACTTGGACGCCGCGAGCGTTGGTTCCGCCATTGAATTCCGATTCTTGGATTTTTAACTGCTCTATTGGTGGGGGCTTTGCTGTCGCTGTTGCTTTCTTACTGTGCAGACGACCGGTGATCACGCCTCTGCTCACTACGTTTTCCGAGACCTAGAACATCCATGGGAAGCTTGAATTCGAAAAATGTAGACTACTGGTGTGTGGAGTAGTTACCAGTCTAAGGTTCTGAGCCATTGCTGGTGCAGTTGCTTTTCTCGAGCATGATTTAAAAATCAGGATTCAGAGTAAGCTTTTCGATCCTGTTTTCTTCATTACACAATTGCAGCATTTACAAGATGTTGCGATGTAAACAAGTTGGATGCCTTTACATATTTCAGCTATTTGGTTCTTAGGTGTGACTATGTGAGGCCATTTCTTATGTGCATTGTTGAATGAGATACAATATGATGTATGTTGTTCTGGTGGGAAATGAATAAATGCCATTTCTTATGCAGCATTTACAAGATATTGCGATGTAAACAAGTTAGCACAAGGTTTCTGCCAGATGTTTTGCTCCTCGAACCTAGTGCCCATGAATTCTTGAGATTGTTTAGATATTGAATCGTATTTTGGTTATGCATGATTGTGAAGAAACAATATATGGGATTAATTAAAAGTTCAATTAGCTGACTATTTCTTGGCATCCTATGTACTAAGAACAGACCACATAGCTGACTATTCCTTTAATTGCTCGCTATCATGAAAACACCCCCAAAATTGCTTCTTTTCCTTATTTGATGATTCTCTTTGGATTCGTTCTCAAACGGCTGTTGAATCTGACTTTTTGTTTGTCATAAACCCACATGATTGCGAACAAATCACATTGTTGAATTTTATATTACAGTTAGTTAATTCAGTAATGTTGCAGTTTGTTGAATTTTATATTACATATGCTTATTTAGTTTATTCAGGTTTGTTATCAGGTATATTCCGGTTTTATTCCGGTATTATTCCGAAACGGTATCCCGAATTTGCCGGTACGGTTTTTTAACAAAAAAATATTATTTAATTACAAAAACGGTATTTTGCCGGTACACAACGATTGAACCACGGTAGTACCACAAAATACCCTACCACTGACGGAGCCGGTATGACTTCCGGTACGGTTTCCTTTACCATGCTTTTTTGATGTGCGAGTCGCCTAAGGTGCTACATACATGATATCGTCGTATTTTCACATGTTTGCACCCTTGTTTCTTAATCTTTTTAGCTCGAATTTGTGGATCCTTGGCCTAGATTACGCTAGGTTGTGATATTTTGTCACATTTCAGATCCTAGTAGGTAAAGGAAGGCTTAGGCGCCAGTTTCAGGTCGTTTGGAGATCATTTGGTGGTTCTAGAGACAAATCACCATCGTCCCCTACACCAAATACGACTGTGATTCACATGATTACTGCCAGTATTTTTAATGCCGAGCGTGGTGAAGGCTCAGGTGAGAATTACGGTCAAACTTCCCATAAATGCGACCGTATTTCTCCAGCATCGAACTCGTATTTTTATGGCCAAGGCTACCCTTGAAGATTTCTAAAGGAAGGCAAATTGCGGGCAAACGAAGAAAAAAATATTGCCAAGGCTTTTCAAAATACTGTCGGTAATTTTCAAAATATTGCCAATATTTTCCCAGACGAGACTGTGGATTTCTCTGTGTCAACTTAACCAAAACGCGCGTTTTGGGCAAAATACGGGCATAGGAGAAATACAACCGTATTCTTGCCCGTATTTCACCCAGTATCGGGGTAAATAGGTAGTTTGAGTCAAAGGAAGGAAATTCAACTTTTTGGAGAAAAAACAGAGTTCTAGAGAGAGAAAGTGACGAAGAACAACCCTGGGAGCTATTTGGAGTGAATTTCTCACCATTGAAACCCAGATTGCTCTCACACCACTTGTAACATCCCGAACCTTTTTTGGACGAAGATATTGTCCACTTTGGGTCTCCACCCACACAGTTTTTGATTTGTGGTGCAATTCAAGGTTACTTCCCATAAGGTCGCCCATCCTTGTTGTACTCCACACTGAGCACGTTTAACTTCGAAGTTCTCGCAAGAACTCGTCCATTTCACCCCAAAACGCGTCTTGTCAGTTAAGTCCGGTTTCTTACTTATGAAGCATGGATCTATCCCGTGCTTTATCTATGTGGGATTCGCCTAAGGTGTTACAAAACTTCTGTTTGTGATAAAGATATTTGTACAAAATATTATAGGTACAACCAGACTTGTACCACAAAGTTAAACTACATGTTCAGTTTGTACCATAAATAAATATGTAAGAAGATGTTTCGATATAAGTTGAATTTGAACCTTAACGTGGAAAGTATAACTTCATTTTGTACCATAAAATTTGTTTAAAAGAAAATGTTGTTGCTTATGAGCATAGTAACGTAGATCTTAATAATTATGTACAACTAATCAGGGATCATATCTCCAAGTACAAACTATTATTTTGGTGTAATGTTATATGTTATTACTCAGATATGAGATAAAATTTGATATAATTTATAAATGTATGAAAGATATTATTATTTTTTCATATATCCAGGCTAAATTAGATTAAAGTGGTCAAACCATTAATTCTCAACCCATTTGCTCGAGCAGACCAACGCGCTAAATTAGCTTGACAACCATGGTTGTTCATGAAACCATTATGAACACCATTGGTATAACCGACATGATCGATTTACGAATTTTAAGTAAAATGACGTCGTTTTAGTGAATTTAATTAATAAATAAATAAATTTGAAAAATGGGGTCAGAACTATCACTTACACTAAAGTTTGGGTCAAACTAGGGTATTAACTCAAAAATAAATTTATTATATATTTTATAAATATAAAAGTTAAAATTTGATGTAATTTGTTGGATTTAGGTATAATGTTTAAGTATTGACGTTAAATGTTGTATTTACATATGAGTATTTATTATTTTATATGAAATATCGTATTTTATTAAGCCGACATGAATCGATACAAAACAATTATGCTACTAGTCCTACTGACTCGCTGTTACTGTCACTCTAGAAAATGGCCAAGTGTAACCACTTCCTAAAGCGTAGTATAGCGTGTTTGGGTTTTATTGTCAACCCGGGTCCTAGATGTGATGACTACTCAGTGAATTCGTATTATCTAGCAATGAAACTTTAGTGAAGTTCTAAACTAACAAGCAAGCAAAGTAACTAAAACGGTTGTATTCAGGTTAAGAGAGGTCACCCGGATATGGTTCCCCCTAGTCTGCAGTTAAGCCGGATTGTAATTACCAAGTTCGATTTCTATGAAAGTTATACTGCGGAAGGTTCTCAATCAGTCTGAAGTCTCGACTAAAGGTCTTCAGACCCTCTCAATCTGAGTCTCTAGCTGGCGACTAACCTACACCGGAGTAAACAGATTGAGGCCCTATGAACAAAACCTCCACTATCGAATGGAATTCGGTACAGAATAGTGAACTGGCTCCTCGACTAAAGTCACCAATTCACTACCTTCGATTAAGGATACTCTATCAACCTAGGCAGATATTATCATTCTAGGTTAAAGCAGAAACAACAGGAATTTGATCAGGACTCAAGTCATTCAATCATTCAAACCTCAATCGAATATAATCAAATCATAGAATCAATACTTGGGTTCATACAATCAAACCTAACATACAGATCTAGGGTTTCCCACACCCAGATGAATGGGGGAACTACTCCATGGAGAGAGAAGCAAAAGCAGAATCAGACGCGGAAATCATACTGTGAAGATGGATTTCTGCTCCTGGACGTTGAATCGGCACTTCTCCAAGCTCAAACCAAGCTCCAATGGTGTTGAAGATCGATCTAGGGCACTTGGAGGCTCTTGTTCGTCGCTTTCTCTCTCTAGGAACCGTTCTGTCTCTCAAAAACTCGAATCCCCCTCTGTTTGGCTTGGAATCCGCTTAAAAACCAGTTCTCCCCGAGTTGCACGGCCAGGTGCACGACCGTGCACAACACCATTCTGGCCGTGCACCATGAAACGCACCGTATCAATTATTGTGTCTTCGTCCATCTTTCACGGCCAGGCGCACGGCCGTGCAAGCTTCATGGCCTGCCCGTGCATGGCCTCAGCGTGAGGCGCACGACCAAATGGCTCAAGTGCACGGCCGTGCAGCCTCCTGGTCTGCCCGTGCACTCCCCAAAAAGCTCGCCCTTCGTCCGTTCTTCATCCAATCGACCCCAGACTCGCTCCTAAGCCTTCATTCACGTACTAGGACCTGGAATAACACAAACAAGCACAACCTAGCGTGAAATCGGCCTAAAACACGAGAATCAATACCTCAAACGGAGTAAGAGCATGGGTAAAAACATGTGTAACTAACGGTCTATCAAACTCCCCCACACTTAACCGTTTGCTTGTCCCCAAGCAAACCTATCTCAAACCAATGCAACTCTCCAGACCTCTGTAGCAACAAACAACCTCGATTGTAGGTAGAGGACTTCCTAGATCATTTAGCAACTTACGAGGTCAACCAACGCACAAGTCATCTCATAGCTTCTTCGGCGAGAGCACTAGTCTCGAGTCAGCATCATGGCAAACAGTGAACAGAGGACAAATGAATCGTGGATGAGGAGACTCTCAAAAACAAAAGATCATGGACTCACATTTTTCAAGGTGCTCGATTTTCTTCTTGAAGATGGTTGGAACCCCTTTCCTTTCTTCTTTTTGCTTGTTTTTCTGTTTTTCTTGTTTTTCAAGGGTTCCAACCTGTTTTTGCAGAAAACGAGGGCTCCCACCTAGCAAAGGTTTTGCGGGAGCCCGGCTCTTACCGGCCATGCCAGGAGCAGTTGTCTCGAGCCTCGTGCGGGGAAAAGACCTGTAAGGGGGCTGGAGGTAGTAGGTGGAAATTGGGAACGGATTCCCGTCTCCCCTTACACACTTTCGCCCTATTCGCACGGGAGACGTCATTTTAAAGCACATTTTCGAGCACCTGTTATATTCAAAACATGATACAAGAGTCCATGACAGGCAGAGAGTCCACAACACCACACAATTCAAGGGTCCTAAGATCACTAATTCACTCAATCAACCAACACACTATGAAGAAGAAATGAGACTTCTTAAATGCATCAACATCCTCCATAGTGCTACACTACCTCCCTAGGTTGCAAATCACTACAGAGACTGTCAATTCAAAGCATACTGAGCAGGCAATTGCAAGGAACACGTACTTGGAGCCCTCAAATTGAAAATTTGGACAGTGGACTAGGCTCCAAGCACACAAACAGATCTAATGCAGTCAAAAGATAAACATCCCCCCACACTTAAGATCGACATTGTCCTCAATGGAGAAGAGGGAAGGAAAGGGGAACGATGTTACCGGTATGCACGGACTGTAGGAGACTGGAAATGGACCAGTCGGGAACACAGCACAGCTCAAGGGGAACAGAAGAGCTCAAACACGATATGTTAGGTCCAACGGTCAGCCCAATAGTACAGTATCCAAAACAAAAGAAAACAAACCAAAACGCAATCCGACTCGAATCAAAACAAATGAATGAAAACCATGGTGGGGTTGCCTCCCCACAAGCGCTTCTTTACCGTCTTTTAGCTGGACGCCCATGGTGGATACTCAGCGAAGTGCAGGATCAGGTGCCTCCAAGA